CCTGAAATGAACATAAAACATTTATTTAAATTAGTAAAAGAAATATTTATACCTGTTAAATTATAACTATTTTTAACACATTTGAACCGGAAATAAACGCATGTTTCAAGAACAAGTGACCATTGGAAAAACAATTGAAATAAAATGGCGTGTTGTAATAACAAATAATAATCTGTTAATTTTTACCCGGGTCATTATCTTGTTAATTTTTTTTTGCTTTTTTGTGTTTTAAAATTGCTAACGAAGAGGCATTTGATATGATTGGATGCGTGCGTAATACAACAACTTTATGGCAGCCAGCGTTTGTGCTACCCAATTTTCTGGAAGACGAAATCATACAAAAAGGGTTTTTCGTAGACTGGTAGATCGGCCTATTTTCCTTTTCAGGTGTGAGTTGATCCCTCTGCTCCAGATTACCCTCAAGTAAGTCAGAAGCAGCGAAATCAGCGTCTGTGAATATATTTCGATGTGATGGAAAATGCCAGTAACACAAATACTATAGTATTTACAAAAATTTGAAAAATTAATAAAGAAAAACGCACATGAAATATTTAAAGCCTTTCACTTTTATTTATTGCTTCTCTGATTTTAGCTGTAGGTATACGTATACTTTGTCGCTTTATCGGCAGTTTCAAGTTTGTCATTTTATCGGCAGTTGCTAAACTTTACGTTTGATTTTGTTGTGGATGCCGGAAACTAGCTTATTTGATATTTCTAGGATAAGTTGACGGCGCCACGGCGGCGATTTAAGCTCCGGCGCGGGGGGCGCCGCCCTTTCGCCCTCCGGGTCAGTCCGTCACTGCTAACAGAGATACAGAGCCCGCACATAGCCCACCTTTTATGTAATTTTCTCTACTTAAAAAGTAGCACATTTCCTCTTCAAAACACTCCTCTACTTCTTTTTTTGCGAAAACCTGAAAAAAGGCCAAACTTTTCTCGATTTTCACCCTGTACATCGCCTGATTCACGTTTCTGAGGGTTGCAAATCTACGTTTATACTTACTGTCTACGTAGTCCCTAACAACATATATATTAAAAATGCAAATTTACAGTATTTTTTGCAATGTTTGGTAAAAAAATTGTGTAAGATGACTGACCTAGATGCCTATTTTTTCTTTTTACTTTTTATCGCAATTGTAATTGATTCAATTTAAACAAGGTGTTAGAAGTTAGACACATCTAGTCAAGTTTGCGTACTTTATAAAAGGTTTTTATTTATCATTCGTTTACGACAAGTTCCTGGTAATTAATGAAAATAGACTCGTCACCCAATGCTCCATACAAGCATTGGATTAAAAATTTATTCAATGATACAAGTAAATAATACCAAAGAGTATCGTTATATTCTCTTTGATAATACCCATACAATGTACTTTAGTGCAGAACAAGTCATTTGCCTATGTCTATAGATAGACTATGCATAATTAGATACAACTCACATGTAAAGATGGCAATGAAAAAAACAAAGACCCTCGGTTAAATTGTGTAAGAGTAAGATAATTACAAGACTTTCATTTAAATGACAATGTCATATAATCATCTTTCCCACAAGATAGGTAACCTTTGGGAGCGAGCACGCTATTGTAAAACACATGCACATTAAATAAGTAAATTAGTTCTTTCAAATAAGTTAAATGCACCTCATAACTACATATTTATAGTTATAGTTTTTGGGTAAATATGACTTTTCGATTTTGGAAAATTTTACCTCTAAACTGAGGGACATTTCAACATGAAAATAACCAAACCAAAGATGTTTGAAAATAAATTCAAGTGTAATCTTGAAACAATGTAAAAATTCGTAGATTTCGTATTATCCCGACACATAGCATAAAAAAATTCGTTGTGAGCAAGAGGCGAAGAGTGCACTTACAAATTAATTATTTAATCACTTAATTAATTAATTATTTAATTTTTAAATCTTAAAATTACTTCGGCGTTGAAACGCAATTCGATTTGCTTATATTTAGCAAACGCCGTTCTAGTGATTCTCGCAAGACAAGACAAAACAAGAAATGATCCTTTCTTGTCTTGTCTTGTTTTCTTGCAACTTCTTGCAAACTTATTTTTGCCACTTCTTGTCTTGTCTTGCAAATTTCTTGCTCGTCTAGTGGTGTGTGGCTGTTTATTGCTATAGGAACTTACTCATATTAATAATGTCGGTTAAGCAACCTATTTGTCATTAATTTTGCGAATCATTTTTCTTATTTAAAGTAATACTTTACAAATACTGTGCGATAGAAATGCAAAAAGAATCTAGAATTTTTGTAATATTTTGTTAAGTAATGTTAAAAATTGGATAAATGAGAATATCACTATTTGATATTAAATTCGAACCCATAAATTTTGTGAGTTTGTGCAGAAGTTCAAACGGCAACCTTTAATGTTGAAAAATAATACGCTAACCGAACTTACTCGCTCTTTAGCTTTCATGGCAGTGGCAGTAACACTTTACCTGAGTACTTTTCCTGTAGCCTGTCACTTTAGCAGATTCTTTTTCCTGTCGCCTCGTATATTACATTGGCATAGGCATTGTTAATGTCTATAATGACTCACTTGTCATCACTTTATTTTATTTTTGGACGCAGATATTTGCCCGTACCCGGATTCGAACTAGGTGCCCTTAGTACCGCAGTCGTGATTTCACGCTACTGCACCACTCAGGCCGAAATTTTATATTAAAAAGACAATTTCGAGAAAAATGTACCTAATACAAAACTCGCCAGTAAAGATGATACTACTTGACTCCAAAATTAATTCAATTTAATTTTTCCTCGCCAGTAATGGTAAACTTCCGTGACTTTTATGTAAATAACTATTAGCGCAATTACTCAAGCGAGCTACTTATATTTTCAAGCGCGTGAAGCAAATACGTATTTTCAAAATCGATCACCGGAACCTTGCAAAAAATTTCTTGCCTTGCATTCGGTGTTTCTTGTCTTGCAAAGGATTTTCTTGTCTTGTCTTACAAAGCCATGCAAGAACAAAAATCACTTCTTGTCTTGCGCAAGACAAGAAGCAAAGAATTCTTGTTTCTTGTGCGAATCACTACGCCGCTCTTTCTCGAAGGCTCTCGAGTATTCTAGAATGTTACCGAACAAACACGTCGTATTTTCCGAAAAGATTGCGTTTATAACAGCGTCTAGAACACTTTAACAACTACTTCAAACGCCATTTTTAAAGAAATTTTTTTGTTATTTATCTGCATCGTTCGGAAGTAATGCGGTGGACGGTCCACAATTCTATACATTATTTTTTTAAAGAAATCCCAATTGTGGTTGCCCCCTACAGGATCTTATAAAATTTCTTCTCGTAATCGTACCAATATCCTTATTAGTTACTTTATTTTTAGCGCATCTTTGCAAATTTATGTGTAAAAGGTAGCTTTGAGCCGGCTGGCTAGCTGGCTGGCAGCAAATGCGGGTCTGTAGGAAAACCTTCGGAGGAAGACGAGGAGTGTACATGTATATAGCTACCGGCGTCGTGTAATTAACAACTGTAGGGACGGGGGCTACATAATATGCGCTCGGCGACATCTTTGCTCCATCCTCAAGCGTGTTGTACTAACGTGGTGATTTTTCCTATCTTCTTCTACAGTTTTGATCCGATTGTTTTGTAAGGCCCGCGTCTTCGAGAGATAGTTGACTTTGGGCACCCAACAGTTTCTTAAGAGCCCGAATCGCGGTCTCTCTTTCTCGTGTCGCCAATAAAAGCAGGAGCTATGAGAAGTGCCCCTAAAATTCCCGTACTATTTTGTAGAGGTTTTTCAGCAAAATCCACCAAAATGCGAATTGCGGGTGAAATGGGACGACGGAGGTGGGTACCGACAAAAGGAAGGACACGAGGACTTTGATAATTTTCTTATTTGTACCTTTACCTTAGAATATTAATTAAATTAATTCCTTGCAAGTGACGGCGTAGCCTGGCTCTATCTTTGTTTTGTGTTTTCAATTGAGTGATGCTGCCAGTCGCAAAGCGCTCATGGATCCTATCGGCACACCGGGAAAGTTCCCGGTATCCCACTGGCCCCATCCACCCCTGACCTAGCATAGTTCATAAAAATACGCAAGTTAAATACGTCGAGTGATTCCATAAAAAGGTCGAATCACTAAAAATGAAAGAAATCAATCAGAAAATCGTTTTTTGTTATGTAAAGAGCGATCCTACCAGAATATATGAACAAGATTCAAGGAGCTTTTAGTTTTCAGAGTCCTTAAGAGTCTTCAAAGTTTCTAATAATTTTAAGAGCATTTAAGCTTGACCCTTTGCGTGGTTTATGGGTCTCTAAGTGCATTTAAGTACCTTTAAAAGTCATTTCAGAGCTTCCAAAAATTAATAAACCCGATATTTTAGTTATGAGAGTCCTTTTAAGAGTTGTTTCTGGGGTCTTAGGTCTTTGGGAGACGGGACCATGTATAAAGATAACTGGATAGTACAAGTTGTAACGCACAGGTTACTACTTGAACCCGTGTGGTGAATTGTAAACAGTTTTTAGCGCATTTTCTAAGAATTAAAAAAAAGTGCTATTGTTTGCGTTTTGTCCGTCGTTCGTCGTCTGTTCGGACCCACTTCTGCGGTTTTGAACTACTTTTAGGCATAGAGTAAATAATATTATTTACTCTATCTTTTAGGGGAATGGTGCTAGGGTCCTGAACTTTTTCGCAATATGTAGCCTATACCTTGCAGGTGTGCCAGACGGCCATCAAATTTCGATCTCTCAAGGGGGCCCCCTATGAATTATTTCCGGTGAACACACGTTCTACCCTTCATGGTATTCTAATGAAAGGTCTCACCGAAATGAATTGGTTTGTACAAACTATAACTTTCCTGCGCGACTCTCATCCGAGACCCGTAGGTGGCCGGGGGGAGGGAAGAAATTAATTTTATGGTATTCCAATTAAAGGGCTCTACAAAAAGAACTGTTTTCTACCATTTCGGCGATGCTCGCAGTTTTATCCAGATGAAATAATTGGAACAACATCTTCCAGAATAGGTACACATACAAAAAGAGGCCTTATAATTATGAGCTTTGTAATACAAATTGAATTGTTCCTCTGATCACACTCTGAACTTCTTAGCTTACAATGCAATGATGGTAATCACAACAAATATGAAAAACACAAACGTAATATTTATAACAACAAACTAATTACTGCAATCTTTTTTTACGACTAGTCGCCATCCGTCGAGGTCCACTCATTTTGACCGGGGAGAGTTCTTCCTCAATAATTTCACAATCCCCACCCCCCAATAGACTAGCGTCTTGTCGATTAGAAGATTCCTGAAGTGGATCCCCTTTAGTAAGTGTATTTAGGCCAGTTTCATCTATAATGTCTGTAATATCTACAATATCTTCAAGATCGACGTCGGAAGCTTTAACTTTCCCCACATTTTCGGACGAATAGGGACGTAGTGTTTCTAAGAAACTATCAGATGCATCTTCTTTACATTCTAGCGACATATCACTGGGAATGGTTCCTTGCGGATTAGGTTCATTTTTTTCGCACCCCTCCGAGAAGTTGGATGGTTCAAGGAAGGGGTGTTGTTCAGTAGTCTGGTAACTAGGCAGTGTGGGTTGTTGCTCGGGAACTTGTAGTTGTCGTACCTCACTAAGTTGACCGTCTTCATCCACAAACTGGTATTGCAGTGTTCCATCGGAGAGATTGTGAAATTGCTCCTCGGTGATATTAACAAGCTGCCCCTCACTGGTACGGAACATGATCTCAAGATTGGTGGGTACCTCGGCACCAAGCATGTGTTGTAATTTATCTGTTGACATATCAAACTGCATGATGCTACCTACTGCTTGTGTCTTTTCCATGTCGATCATTTGAGTGTTAACGAAAGTAGAGTTGCTGAGGTCTTGAAAATTCATCACCTGGAGTTCTGGTACGTTTTTATCATGGTCTAAGTGCTCACTATACGTTTCATCAGTGTGTGGTATGAAGTTTTCAACCGTGGTTTCAGTGCAAGACTCTTCGATTACAAATGATCCCACTTGAGGAGTGGATGCTATTTCACGTTGGAGTGCTTCTAGAGCTAATCTGCTAGCGGCCGCCTCTTTGGCACAAGCTTTCTCTGCTTCGGATCTAACAAACTTACGCTTGTATTTCTTCTGCACATAGGAATCATTGCCATTTGGCATTTTAAACATGTTATAATTTTCTGGGGGAGATGGGGTGTTAAGCGCTCGGCAGGAGTTGGCATATTTGGGCTTCTTAGTTAAGAACACAGGGGGAGGAATGTTAATTAGGCCTAAAATATTAGTTTAATGGAGAGAATCGATGGACCCAGATGAACAAACCTGCTTCGTAGCCGATTTCAGGCTGATCGGATACAAGTACTTGTATACCACGTATTTGGAAAAAGTTTGCAGCTGCAATCATGTACTTTAAGTTCTTGTGGGATATGTTTGTGATTCCACAGTACATGTACTCGATTAGGGATCTTACTATCACAAAGTCAATGCCGGTCATGATGATTTGTTCCGTACCCATATTTCTCTCCAACTGCTCCTGTGGGTATAGGTAGGTAAAAGGCTTACTCACCCAATGTAGTATGTGACTTACGCGAAAATACTGGCTGTTCGCTGCCAAAACGCATTTGTGGACATGAATCGTGTTAGTGCCACAACATATCACCACATCAACCAAACTTTGGTGCTCGAGCAATGAACAAAGAACCGATGTTACAAAACGCCCGTGCGTCTCCCACTTCACGTAATACTGAGATTCGTCGGATTCTTCTTTATTCATCTTTAAAACTAGAAAGGTGACACAAAATTATGTGAAAATTGAAAGTAAAAATCTTATGGGTCTGTCACTCAAAATGGAAACTAATAACGATTTTACCGATTATGTAATTTGGCCACGTTAATCTTCTACGAATTAAAAAGAAAAATTAATTTTCAAACCTCTTCTGGCACCTATGAGGCAAGAGACTTTCAAAACGCAATACCTTGAAACCGTTTTGAAACTTTAGTTAGACATTTGCACACCAGAGGGCCGCTACCAACTTTAAAAAATAGTTCCGGTTACCAACGTTAAAAAAATGACCGCCAAAATTAAATCGACCAATACAGATCTCTGAATTTACTAAAGGTCCACTCAAACCGACGATTTTTAAAATAGTAACTTCAGATAACACTTACATGAAAACGCTAACGTTACACAAAAATTAGTGAAATTTGTGGGAAAATTTCCAAACGATGGTTAACTTGACGTCCAAAAATTGAAAATCATGCATTTTCGGTGACTAGGAAGAGATCGCAATCGCTGTCTGAATTAATTTTAGAAAATATGCCATCTTTTAATCACCTTGTTTTGTAGATGGGCCCTTTTTGCACCGGCAGAATCAAATTTTGCGCCCTAATAGAAAATCAGTTGTCCCAGAAACTATATAATCCCGACCAACTTTACAGCCAACCAACGGTGTTAAAAGGCATATAATTGGCGTTTAATTTCTGCATATCATTTATGGAAAAGTTTACAGAAATCTTCAGGTACGTCTTTTTTGTAAAAATTTCCTTCGCGCAAAACGGCAGTGGACGAAATTCTGGAAAGTGAATAATTTTGGCAAAAGATTGGAGAAATTTAAATTAATAAGGAATAATGAATTTAATTTTGGGTTCTCGGGCATTATTTTAAAGAAAATAGAATGACATTTAAAGAATATTGAGAAAATAAAAAAACAAGTTGTAAATCAGCATATGCATGATTAAAGCGCATTTTTGGTAATGCAGGTCAGTATTTTATTAGCGAAGTTTAAAATTATCGATCTCACGAGTAATTTTGGCTGCGTTAAATAATTAATTTTATTTAATTTCAATTGACGGTACGTCTTCATTTTGTAAAACAAATCACAAAGTAAATAATAAGTTTTTATACTGGTAGCGCTATCTAACGATAAAATTATAGCACCTCCGAAACCCATATCGAAATTATTTTCTTAATTTATCGATCTCACAAGTAATTTAACTCAAAATAGACTAGTGCCTGCACATCTACATATAGCAGAAAGCTTTTAGTGAAAATTTGAATTCTCTAGCTATTGTAGTTGTGGAGATCTCACGCGGACAGCCGGCCTGCCAGCCATAACGAATATAATAGCGTATTTTTTTCAAAAATTCGCTAAAAATTCTGTGTGTACGCGTATGTACCATGTTGGTACAAAAGGTCCACCTATGTACATAATGGACTTTTAAAGTACGTTTCATTACCTTTATTCGGACAGAATCGTAATTTCTAAATAAGGGGTGCTTAGATAAGGTCGGGTAATGTATTTTAACTCATCTGTTAATTCTGCAGGTCACTAATAAAAACAAGTTAAAAAAATTAGTTTATTAACTGTAAAACACTAAAATACAGACAGACACGTCATTAAAATGGTAATACTGTTTAGTATTAAAATAATATCAATAAACCAATAAATATAAAAAATTAAGTACATGGAAGTTTAATAAAAATATGAACCGCGTGAGTATCAGACAAAATACTATTTGGCACTATACACATTTTTAGCATACTTTTTTGACACAGTGAATATCTTACATGAACGCTCAAAGGACGATACCAATACAGTACAAAAGAAAATGGCACTGTAAAAATACCAAATAAGTTGCTATTTACAATTTTTAAAAGTTCATATTTTTATAATTTCTGTCGAAAACAAAAATGCGGAATGTTCCACAGCCTTGTACAATAAATAATATAATGGAATGCGTCAGTCACCTGAAAATAGGAACTCACTTTCGGAAAGTAAAACTTCTAAATCGGATTGGACGGTATGTGAATTAGAATCGATTTCGTTTGGGATTTTTGTGTTGGGAATGTTTCCTTGAAGGGGATGTACAACATTTTGGCCTGGTTTTGGAGCTTTCTGGTGCTTCTTGTCCTCCTTAACAGTTCGTACGAGCACACCCGTCCTGGGATTATTTTTGACGCGTTCTGGGTGTTTTTCGATAACGACACATGTCTTCTCTGGCTTTCTCAGTTTGACACTAAATTTAAACGGAGGTTTATAGACGACTTGCAGTCGCACTTTTTCCTTATCACCCGGTAGATTACCTAAACTATGCGCTTTACTTTTTTCGGCGCGCTTCGTTCGCTTGTGAGGGCTTCGAGATTTATCTGTGAGAGCGGCGGGGGTCGATTTCGATTTAGGTAAGGACTGGTGGGATTTTAGGAGCCAGTTTTGTACTTTACCCAAGGGATCGGCTTCTGGAGTGAGCGAACTGTGCAGGACGTTTGAGGGAGTTTTGGGATCATCTGCACTGTAATCGATGATTTCCTTCTTTTTCTTCCTTTTTTTACTCGCGGAGACGTGCTGAGGCGATTTCTTTACTTTACTAGGAGGTATTTCAATTACTGCCGTGTCGCCTTCCTTCTTTCGACTTTCTTCGGCCCCAATCGGTGCAGATACCCGCTTCTTTTTCTTTGTTGGAGATTTTTTATTTTTATTTTGACTCTTAGTGTTGTTGTTATCTTTGATTTTGTGTTTTCTGCGCAATTTTCCATCACGGACTTTTCGTTTCAGAGGTACTTTCGTTCGAACGGCGGGATGCACAGTTACGCCACCGTCGCCATCTGGTGGAAGCCGTACAGTTTCTGTAGTCGCGCTGTGCATAATCGTCACAGACTTTAATTTGATGTTAGGTTTCTTTCCTAATACTTTTGTGCTTAGTATCTACAAAAAACGTTATTATGTAGATCACATTTTACAAAATCATTGTCCACCGACCAAAAGAAAATAGAGAGTGAGCGTTAAGCAGAATAATAATAAAAAGCAGTCTACAAGAAACAATAGGGGGTCAGTGGCGTAGCGTTTCAAAATAATAGGAGGGGCGGACCGAAGTCACTTGGCCCCCCCCCCCCATCTCAATTTTTCTTTCGCGGTGTCGATTGGTCATGGTATCACAGAAAAGAACAAAAATAAACGACAAACAAAATGTAATTATGTATTTTTTTTAACCAAATTTTCAAATCTTAAATTGTTTTCGTCTTTTAAGTGATGCTAATGACAGACACAGAGAGAATGTGAATTGAATAGGTTGCTGTGAGGAGCGGGGAGCAGGTTCTTCGCAGTTCTTGACAATTCTACGACTACAGGCAAGGCAATAACAGTAGCGCTAGCGCTGTTGTTGTAGTGTGTAGGGGTATTGACCGTATCAGACGTTCACCGTTCACGAAAACTTGCCAAAACCATACTTACCTAGGTATAGGCTTGAATCATGAAATTCAATTCATTTTTTTTTTTTAATTACCTATTATACATTTACTACTTACATAGTAGGGGCGGATTGGGCCCCCTCAGCTTTCGAGCCCGGTGCGGACCGCCCCCCTCGCCCCCCCCTCGCTACGCCACTGTAGGGGGGTCATACAATGCTAATATTATTATAGATCATCTAAATATTGTTGAGCTGTGAATAAAAATAGGTCTCTATTCTCCCAATGAATGAACGAAGTGTTTATAACCGCATATACGTTTATAAGTTAAATGTTCCACTGTACAATGCATTAAAGAAAGTTGTGTAGATCCAGTACCTACTCATATCACAGATAACACACACCTTCAATGCGGACTTTTTCTATTTCACTATTTATAAGATATACTCTGCTCATGTCTAATTTATCTGTTAATTTATTGATTGACATTGTCCAGTTCCATTAGATTTCAGTTTGCCAAATGCAGGAAAACACTGAGGTATTTATTTATTTATTTAAATTGCATGATAATAAAAAGCCTTTAACATTCTTCTTATTTATATGCCATTTATCCGATTTGGTGCATCTAGTGCGATAAAATCACGGTGTACGATAGCAAAAGACGACAGTTAGTTTATAATGTGCTTCAGTTTATGAAATAAGGATGTGAATGGTGTACAATTCCACTAGGCTGTGTAGGAATGTTTTTGTAAGGCGTTGGGAGTTTCCAAAAAACTTGGTATTACAAGTTCAGAAAGAATGAAAGGAAATTCAAAGTAGACTGAAAGAGAATTTTACCGCACATGCCTTTAATGAAAGCGATTTTTGTTTTAGTGCTGATGATTGATGACATTAATATATATTAATAATTATCAGGTTGGCAAATTGTAGGTACATATTCACTATTATGTAATAAATAATGTAAAATATTGATTTTCACTTGTAAACTAAATTCGGGCTACGATAAACGATCATTATGTTGCATTTCAAACTATTAAATAAATACCTGTTTTCCTGCATTTGACAAACTGAAATCTAATGGGCAAGGTCGATCAATCTAGACGTATGACCAATAAGTATATCTTATAAATGTTTAAACAAAAAAAGTAAGCATTGAAAATTTGTGGCATTGGGAGTCTAAAGGGTGGTTCCAACGGCGTGCTTTATTACCCGCTTTATACCGATTCTTATTCATAGCACAGCGATATTGAGATGAACAATAAACCTACTGGGAAGTGACACTACTTTCCCCGATTCCTTTTCGAGATGATACAATTTATAGCATACCCTAATTGGTGTAGTTTGAAATTCCAGTACAATAAACAGTGTTGTAAGGTACGATAAAATTAATTGTTTCAAGATACAACAGAGGAAACAGCAAGTGCCTTATGGAATTAGACGGGACGATGTGTGCAAAATGAAAAATTTTAAATAAAAAGCGGTTAATTTGCCAACCTGGGTTTTTCCTAAATTTCGGCAAATAAATCTTAACTGTGCAACTAAACGAAGTGCAAAAAGCGGCACCAAATGAAAATAAACTTACGTTTCGTTAAAGCATGAATAATTAATAAAATATTAAGCTGAGAAAGAATTAGATAGTAGATATCACAACAAAAATTACAACTTACCAAAAGGCCAACCACACTGATTATAATCAGAGCGACGACGTACCAATATTCCATAACCCAGTTCTTAAAATGCTCAATGCTTTCTTCAGATAAAAGTAATTTTCTCAATGTAGCTAATGGACCAGAAGGATCGACCTCGCGACATTTTTGAAAAACATCGCAATAGCCGTTGTAGTCGTTACAAGGCGTGCCAGGTTTTGAGTACATGTCAGGTACATCGTAGGGCATTTCGTTCCATTCAAACGATGATATGCAAGGTTGACCTTCGCCGGGTAGTTTACAGCACAGCTCGCAGGCTTTCGTTTTTGGATCATTTGCCGTTGGTAAGCACTGGCAGGATTCCAAACCATAAGCTAGGCAAATGGATCCGGTGCATTCCTGTAAATGAAGACATTTGTAGCGCGATTGGCGTTGTAAACTGAGCCTTACCCCCATAAAGCACACGAACTCTTGATTGCATATTGTTTTGTTTGGTTTATTAATGGACGGTGGGCATTGCGGACCGCGTCCGTTACAGTAACTGGCATCTCTGCAACCATTGTCGTCTCTGCATTTATCGCCGAATTTTACCTGACATTGTGAAGTGCAGCAAGGTCCCTACAATAACAACGTTCTTGCTAAGTGTAAAATTGCAGTGAATGTACGCACCTGTGAAGGGCTGCACACACTTCTGGGAGTTAGATGACAAGGCGGTTCGTCGATGGGTGGGTATCGACGTTGAGGGAAACAGCACTCATCACGACAGTCACCTTCCCAACCACAGTCGCATTCTTCGCCTTCCTCCACAACGCCGTTCCCGCACAAGGAAGCCTGAGGTTCAGTGAAACATCCTTTTGCAGATCGAGCCTTGAAGTTTAGAACAGGATTTATGCTTTTCAAACTGCATGGGGAGAACTGGTTATTATTTCTCTTATCACCAGAGGTCGCCCTTGCAAACATGATGAAATTGCCATCGTCACCACCAGGTGTGCACGTCTCAGGATCGTGCTGTAACTCGACTATGAAACGATGTCTACTTATTATTTGCCTTTATACTCACAGGAGAACCGAAATTGTGTCCAATTTCGTGGGCAAGAGTCACGTGAGAGACAGCTGGAGGTACATGCTTGCCATAGTTTAATAGTGTTACAATCCCCGTGTTTAGTGACTTCATGCTGCCTCTGTAGTGCTGCAAGGGATTTGTTTAAAAAGAAAGACAAACAAAACGAATAGTACCCCATTCTTTTCGCAAACTCCCCCCGCATTCTTAAGATCGCCAGTCCACGCTAGTCCCAATGTACCCATCTCAAAGTCTCGATATGTAAACATGTAGGCCAAACAAAAGGCGTCGTAATCTTCCTCTGTAAAAAGACGGAATACTAAAATTTGACAAATGTGGGTAACGTTTCAAAGAAGAAAAAGAATATAAATTTGATGTAAATGACATTATTTGAATAATTTTCTTCTTCGTAACGCTTCTAATAAAAAAAATCAAAATTTGATACTGCCGGCTGTCGATCATACCAATACGATTTTATGAGATGGAAATTAGATTGGAAACAATATTGATTACCTATCTACTTCTCCTTTTACTAAAATATAATTGTGAACGCGAAAAATTAGCTGAAACAGTTTCCTATGACAAATTATATTATCCACGAAAGTTGGATAATAATAATAGCAAATAATGCAAACGTGCTCGTTTTCCGCTTTCCGCGAGTTTCGCTATTAAAACAGATACCGAAGTTTCGGCTTCTTGACTTTAACTTATACATCCACTCAAATTATGTCGGAAGGAAAAATATCAAATGGTTATTAAAATTGACGACGTTTAAAGTTTCGGAATGTAATAATTTTATACAATCAAATAAAAAATGAAGTTTGAGAGGAGAAGCATAACAAAAAAGAAATACATAATTTATGCTTAAGGGACAAAGGAATAAAACAAACTTTTCAAATAAAAAACTTTTCACTTTGCGCTGTTAGGGAAAGTGATAATGTTTATCCAGAAGGCAGACGTTTAGATGTTTTCGTTTATACAGCGCGATATTTGTTTTTGAGCGCATCACGATCGTAATGAAAGATGTATCGTGCGGCGAGACCTCATATCTGTATTTACACAGAAGTCGTTTAAAACCAATCTTAGCTAGACCATTTCAGTGTTAAATGATTTTAAATGTTATGATATCAATTAATGCTGATATTACGCGACGAACGTTGCCTAATATTACCAATGCTGTTCCGTTTTCACGAAAAAAAGCGAATAACTTAAGAAAGAAAAGAAGGAACTGAAAGTTAAGTCGGATCATGGACACGTGCGGCCCAGTCAGGTGCATCCAGGGTAATTAAGTAGGGCAGTTCTGCCTTCCAAATGTTTTTCATAATGTTGGCAAAAATTCGAAACGCATGAAAGTTTACAAAGATTGTTTATGCATAATACCCCGCACTCATGCGGTCGACAAATTAAATTTTAACAATCTTAAATAACTTAATTTTTTTAAGAATCCAAATAATCTGGTCGTGAGCGGTTTGCGATATTCAGGCATACTTATCAAAGACACAAAAGCACTCGCAAACAGCTTCAGGAAACTTCATCCGTTAAAATTCTGAACTCAACGACTCGAACTGACGTTTCGGTTGCTGCTCGTACGATAGAAACTTTTAACTTTCACTAATAATAATAATAATAATGATTTATTCCCTACTTCTGCACAAACCAATAAACTAACAGTATAAATAAAATAAACAGAAGAAACCTATTACGGTGTCGGGAAGAAAATAGAGCGTTTATACACTAAAAAATAATTTTTTTTTCTTCTTAATAATGTGAATAGAAATAGAAATAATATGGATGATGAAATGTGAACTAAGGATTGGTATCATGAAAGCTATAGAACTCTTTTAATGAGTAAAATTCCTGTGATTTTAACCATGATTTCAGGCTGCGTTTAAATTTGGTTAATCATTGCTTAGATGTTATGTAGTCAGGCAGATGATTGAAGATGCCTATATAGGAAGGACAATTTTGTAAAAGCGATAGGTGTACTTTTGGAAGTCTTAATTGAGTATTTGATCTTGTAGGATAATCATGGACGTCGGACGATTTAGTGAGAGATTGTTTGTTTTTGAAAATGATTATAGATATTTTATAGACATAAAGGCTCGTTAAGGAAAATATATTTAGCGATTTAAATGTTTCTCTGCAAGTGTCGCGTTTGCCTATATACAGCAAAGTTCTAACTGCTTGTTTTTGTAACTTAAACGCGGCGTTAGCATGAACACTATTTCCCCAAAATTCTAACCCATATGCAAGCAAACTTTCAAATGCAGAGTAATATACAATCTTCGCCGTTGCTGCTCCTACTGTCTCTTATCTTCCTGATTTGGTAAACGGCCTTTGCTAGTTTTGGACATAAATTAGTGACATGTGATGACCACGATAAATTTTCATCTATCGTAACACCTAAGAATGTTGTGTTATCCACGGATTTAATTATCTGATTTCCAACATTTAAATGGAAGTCGAACTGTTGTGCTTTAGAAGTTTTAAACAAAATCGTAAAGCATTTATCGAAATTGAGGATTAGTTTATGACGGTACATCCACTTTTGTATTTCAGACACCTTATTTGCAGCATAATCATGCAGAGTATTAAGACACGTGCCCTGAAAGGCAATAGAAGTATCGTCCGCAAGCAATGTTAAATTTATGTCTGGAAAGGAAGTCATTAAGTCTTTTATATAAATTAGAAATAAAATAGGACCAAGCACGCTGCCTTGTGGGACACCTCTTTGAACGAAATTTTTATCGGAGTGCATTTTGTGAAATATACCTTTCTCTGATAATGTGGTGATTTCTGTAAACTGTTGCCTATTCCATTGGTAAGATTGAAACCACGAAGCAGCTATACCTCTGAAGCCGCAGTTTGAAAGTTTCTCTAACATGATATTATGGTCAACACAATCAAACGCCTTGGAAAGGTCACAAAAAACGCCTAAAACGAATTGTTCCAAATCGCTACTGAGGTGTTCTTATTTTGCTGGAAGCCGTATTGATTATTTGCAATTAAGTTATGAGATTGAAGATAGCGTAGTAACCGTGCTTTCATGGCCTTCTCCAAGATTTTTGATATGACAGACAGCAGTGAAATTGGTCTGTAATTGTTCAAATCTCCTTTACTACCTTTTTTGTGGAGAGGAATGATCTTAGCAATTTTTAGACGCGTTGGGAAGATTCCATTAGAAAAAGAAGAATTTATAATTTCAGTTAACGGGTACTTTAGCAGTTCCCGGTTCTCTTTAACTAAAAATAACGGAATGTTGTCATATCCCACAGAATTGTTGTTATTTAAACCCTTAACTAAGTTGTCGATTTCATCAACATTAACTGGGTGAATAAAAAATGAACTACATAAGTTACCGTTCGAGGAAAGTGGTCTGATGTTAACTGGTATATCTTTTGTTAAACCCACAGCAATGTTTGTAAAAAAGTTATTGAAGACCGAGGCCACCTCGCCAGGGAAAGTAAGAGTTTCATCCTCGACTTCCAAAACAATGTTTTCGTGAAGCGGCTTGGGTTGTTTTGACTTCTCTTTTCTCTTTTGATTTCTCGGGAAAACACTTTTTCTTATTAATTTTGGTGCGTAGAATCCAAAACAATTCGTACTTTTTCGATTAGACTTCTCAATCAAAAGTTATAGACTAGAAACCAATTTCGAAACAAAATTCAAAGGGCTGTAACTTTTGAACTAGTAGCCCAATCTTGAACTGTTTGAAATTATGGGATCTACAGACCACATTCTATAAGAAAGGTAAGTGAGTTTTTACTGGCGATAGGAGAAGTTGACTAGCGAGCCGTTAGGCGAGCTTGTCATCTCCTAGAGCCAGTAAAAACTATTACCTGGCGTATAATGTATAATATTTTATTTGTTACTCATTTGTAAACGTAAATAATTAGTTCTTAAATTGATCTCGAAGGAATGTCTAAAATATCATATTATCCATGTAACAGAGACTTCGCATTAATTCTGGCCAATGAAATTACTAGATTACTAACTTGTAAAATTTTTACAGGTCTGCTGTCAGTTTTACAAGTCAGTAGCGTTTAAACATGACGTTTACCCGTTTACGTTTTGTCTTGTTAATCAACGTTTACAACTGAGTAACAAATAAAAGTTATTATCGGACAAAAATCAATTGGTTTTGCGATAAACAATGCCATGTGCGAAATAAGCAATGCAGCTGATTATCAGTTCGGGCGACGGTGCGGAATTTCGATTGTCGCCGGGGGACAACGATGTTGAATTGATTAGGATTAGTGAATAAGGTTTTTCTCTTAAATAGGAAAAAGAAAGAATAAATATGACTGATTCGGGTTATTTTGAAAAAGAACGTAGTCAGTGACGCTAGTTTGCCCAAGATGTGCTTTTAAAAGAAGAAAAATGTAATCCTCTTCATGGTAACAAAGTAAATTGGAAACAAATTGAACGACGTTGTGCACGAAGTTATTACGCATGTAATTTTGAGTTTAGAAAGTCTTGTTATCAAGAGTACGGAAATAGAGTGGACTTCATCACTGGAAGCACTTCGTTACATTTTTTTGCACGGAATAATGAGTATTATATCGGCTGATGTCACTATTAAACAAAATGTTGTTCCAATTAAGCGTAATCGACTGCGTTTTAAGAGATTATACTGTCACGAAATGACGAAAATATCCAACCGCACGTCTATGAGTGCTATTATCGCCGGCATGTAATGCCAAAGTAGCATATTATGTAATTCTGGAAAACAAAAATTCTGTTCTGTTTCAATTAAAATTCATGTAAGTGTTTAAAATTGTGCTAACCAACAATCGTTTTTGAAAAATTTCATTGTCTGCATCATTAACAATAGTAACGTTACTATTATGAAAAACACTCAACTCAATGTAATTATTAATGAAAATCTTCAAATAAAGCAAATGATAATTTGATCACAAACATAAAAGTTACAGCGAAGAGTTGAGCGCAAATCAATAATCAGACGTAAAGCACAATAATACAAACATAACTACACAGTAGAACATAATAACGAGGTGGAAAAAATAAAAGAATACTTGTGGTTTTGAAAGACTAATGTCCCCATGAGGGGGATTATTATTCAATTACCTGCAGACTAAGGTAGAATAACTTGAATACTTTTAGCAGTAGAAGCATTGTGGGTAATACACATACCATCAAACCAAATTGCCCTTTCTCATTTTTCTCAACTTCAAATAAGCACAACTGGAACGAGACGAAGGAAATAAAACGCAGAACAGTCAGCCCATTGAGAAGGTTAGTGGCTTTTACGTTTTAGTTACCTACTCGAAATCGAACAAA